GCAGGATGAATTGGTGCAAGATGCCCGAGGGGGGGAGGGGGAGGAGGAGGAGGAGGGAGGAGAGGGATTGCCAGGCTGAGCTCCTGGCCCCATGCAGAGCTATACCTTCGTCCAAAGCAGGCAGATAAGTGAGGTGGTGGGGCTGCTATCCTGTTTGCTAATGTAGATGCTCCGCGAGCTTTCTGTCTGCTACTGTAGGTGCTGCCCGACCTCCCAAGCTTTACATCTGCTAATGTAGATGCTCTTGTATCTTCTAAGCTTTATTTTTGCTAATATAGATGTACTCCTAACTCCTGCGTTTTACATCCGCTAATATAGTTGGACCCCTAGCTCCCAGGCTTTCTATCTGCTAATATAGACACACCCTCAACATCCTAAGCTTTACATCTGCTAATAAAGACCCCTGTGGAGCTTCCTCTAGACCAGGAAAAACAAGGTCTTCCAAGCCTAGACTTTTGGGAGCTGGAAGAGATGATCTGGTCCAGTTCCCTTAATTTACAGATGAGCGTCAGAGGGGGAATGACTTGCCCAAGATCACACACAGGAGTAGTGAGGGGCTTAGCAGGGTATGACTATAATCCAGCTCTCCTGGCCTTTTGCCACCACTTCTGAGAACTATAAAAGCTCTTTGGAAGACTATAGGGATTTTAAAGCTCCTACACCCACCCTGTCTCCTAAGAGAGTTCTTTTATTTGTTGGGGGGGAGGGTATGAAAGGAACCTACTGGATGCGTGAAACAATTCACAAGTGTTAGTAATCAAAGGTACAAAGCTTGGGAGGTAAGGACAAGTCTCTATTAGCAGATATAAAGCTTAGGATGTTGAGGGTGTGTCTGTATTAGTAGATATAAAGCCTGGGAGCTAGGGGTCCAACCATATTAGCAGATGTAAAACTCAGGAGTTAGGAGTACATCTACATTAACAGGTGTAAAGCTTGGGAGATCGGGGTGCTTCTGCATTAGCAGGTACAAAGTTGAGGTCAGGGAGCATCTACATTAGCAGACAGAAAGCTCGGGAGGTCGGGGAGCATCTAGCAGATGGAACGCTGGGGAGGTCAGGGAGCATCTTTGTTCTGAAATTGTTTCTGACAATACTCCAGTGAATCCATGATGTCATTGATTTGGATGTCCATGTCGGTCATGTGGTTTGTCGCCACCCCTCGGGAGTCTCTTGCCCGAGTTCTTTATCGGGGAAAGAGCACGGACTGTGTTGTCAGAAGACCTGGATTCCAACTCCACTTCTGTCGCTTGAAACCTGGGCGACCTTGGGCATCTCAGGGCCTCAGCTTGCTCACCTGTAAATGGTGGGGTTGGACTGTGACCTCCATGGTCCCTTCCAGATTCCACGTCGGGTAGTGGCGCTGGGGGCAGAGCCACCTCACAATCCTCCTCGCCTTCTCCCTCTACTGGGCCGCTCCGCTTCCTCGTGCTGGGTGGGAGCCGCCAGCCCTGCCATCTGCCCCGCCCCCGTGCCCCACAGACTCCAGTGCAGGCCCTGCCCCTCTGTACTTGGGTACCTTTCCAGTTACCCTGAAGCCGAGGGGCTTTTGTTTTAGGGGAGGTCTCCCCTCAGCAGAGTGGGGGCTCCTTGGGAACAAACGCTTCTCATTCTTCTCTTGATCTGTTCAGTGCTTGTGCAGGCACACAGTAAGGGCTTAATAAATCCTCCTTCCCCTTCCTTCCTCCCTTCTCTAATCTGTGCCCCCGCAACTACGTTCACCACAAGGAGGCCGCTCAGTTTATGTGGCGCCTGCCTTGATCTCACCCACTCTGTATCACCCTCTATTTTACACATGTCCCAGGTGAAATCCTTTGCTCCTGTTCTTGTTCAGAATGGCTTGTGTGTCAGTCCTTGCCTTATGCACAATGATTATTTCTAATTATTTAGTATCAGAGCAGAGAGTCACTCAGCAAATGGTTATAACGTGCTAACTATGTGTCAGGCTTTGTGGAAGGTCTGGTGATTTAAAAAATAAACCAGTCTCAGAGATCTCTCTCTCTCTCTCTCTCTCTCTCTCTCTCTCTCACACACACACACACACACGTGCAGAATAAATATAAAAAAACAGGCAGTAGAGGGAGGGAGAGACGAGGCATTAGCAGTTGAGACGGTCAGGAAAGGCTTCATATAGAAGGGGATGTTCAAGTTGCATCTTGAAGGAAGTGAAACATACTCTGAGGTCAGTCGGTAAGCATTTATTAAGCACCTACTGTGTGCCAGACACTGTGCCAAGTGCTGGGGATACACTGAAAGGTAAAAGACAGCCCTGCCCTCAAGAAGCTCACAATCGAATGAGATAGAGGCAAGGAGGGATGGCATTCCAGGCAGGGTGGTGGCCAGGTATGGGGAAAATGGAAATGGAGAGAATAACACACGTATGGAGCAGAGAAGAGGTTAGTTTGATGGGACTGGAGAGTGTAGGAATGGCATGATGTATTTGATAAAGCTGAAAAGGTAGGTTGGGAGCCAGATTGTGAAAGATTCTCAATAATAATAATTAATAATAATAATTTTAGATAGCACCTACTGTGTGCCACTACACTGTGCTAAGTGTTTTGCAAATCTCATCTCATCCGATCTTCATGACGACTCTGGGAGGTTGGCACTGTTAGTGTCCCCATTTTACAGATGAGGATGCTGAGGCTTTGAGGGGTTCAGTGACTTGTCCAGGATCACACAGATAGTATCCGAGGCCCTATTGGAACTTGGGGCTTCCTGGCTCTAGACCTGGCCCTCTGTCCACTGCCCTCCCTGCCTAGCTGACCCAAATGCCGGACAAAGGAGTCTTTGTTTGACTCTAGAGGAAGTTGGGAGCCACTGGAGATTACTGAATAAGAGAGGGGCTGTGGTCAGCCCTCTGTGCGTGTGTGTATGTATGTGCGTGTGTGTGTGTGTATGTGTAACACCACGAGTAGCATGTTGGGGTTCAGAAGCTGGACCCTCATTCCTTTCTGGTAGAAATCCAGGGTCATTTAAGGAGCTTTGTAATTTCCTGAAGACAACCCAGCCCACACCTGTTTTTGTGGGTGTGAACCTTGGGATGTAGGTGTGCATCTTTATGAGTGGATGTGAAATCTGGGATGTGGGGAGGTAGTCATCATCTCTCTTATTAGCAAGTGTAAAACCTGGGAAGTGTGTGACGGGGGTTATTGGGTCTTAGCGCTGGAAGGGCCTGCCGAGCTCTTCCTCATTTCACAGATGAGGAAAAAGGCTCAGAAAGGAAGAGGGACTTGCTTAGGGATTTGAACTCAGGTCCTCTGACTTCCACTCCCCGCACAGCACCTCTTAAAGTGTTTCTCATGATTCATCTCTAGACCAGAAGGTGATGATGGAGGTGGAGGGTGGGCAGAAGCTACCTGGGCATTGGCCTCCGCTGGGGATTCCTGCTGGATTTCTGAGCTAACCTTGGTGCCCCGAGGGTGACGGCTGGGCTTTGGTCCCTGGTTTTGGATGTAGGGTGAGTGGGCCTTTCCAGACTCAGCCAGGGCTTCTGGAAGGGGCTGAGGGCGCCACTCGAGTCCCGGGCTGCTGGGACCTGGTGCAGCCCAGAGTTGTCAGAAGGCCGGGATCTGGCACCGGGCGACTTCTCCAGGTTCCTCTTGTATAAAATGAGGGAATTGGTTGGATCAGAGGGACTTTGGTCTTTTCCTCGGCGTGGGCAGTGGGGCCGCCTGTCCAGCCCCCTTATTTTATGGGCTCGGTGAGCTTGTCCTGGGGCCCTGAGTCAGGATGGAACCCAGATCCTCTCATTTGGAACAAGTCATACGTGTAAAGCGCTTTTGCAGATTTTGAGGTGCTATGGAAATGTTAGCCATTATTATTATTGTTGTGGTGGTTGTTATCATGATTATCATGTCAGAGCCAGCCCTCTCCATGGCGTCCCCCTGTGCTGATTTCCGGCTCTGGTCACCAGGAGAGTGGAGCAGGCTGGGGGAGCATGGGGACCTGGGGGGACTTTCTACCTCTTGTTGGTTTTGATGTAAGCCAGAGCTCACAGTCGGGTTGGGGGACAGCACGTGAGCGGGGCTGTCCGAGTTTCTGTGTTTCTGGGAGGCCAGGGTAGAAGAGCCCAGGGGTCTGGTCCGGGCTTTGCTCCTTTGGGGAGCTGTTTACTGGCTCTTTGCCTCAGTTTCCTTATCTGTAAAGTAGGGATGTTATTACTGGTGCTCTCTCTCTCACAGAGCTGTCATGGGGATTATCACGCGAGGTGATCATAGGCCTTTTCAAGGTGTTGATCAAGCAAGTCTCCAAGTGCCACCTCTGTGTGTGTGTGTGTGTGTGTGTGTGTGTGTGTGTGTGTGTGTGTGTGTTGGGGAAGGAACATGCAAAAGGAAATAGAGAAGACATTTTGAGTGATTTCGTGATGTGTCTTGGAGTGAGGACACTGAATTTGAGTCTTGTCTTAAACATGTCCTAGCTGTATGACCCTGGCCAAGTCACTTTACCTCCATCTTCCTCTGTTTCCTCCTCTGTAAAATGGGGATAGTGATAGATTTAGCCAGGCTCACGCTGCTGGTAAGTGGGAGGCCTGGGATTCCCTCCGGGCCCTCTCACTCTCAATCCCCGAACCTTCCTCTTGCTCCTGAGCCAGAGGTGCTGGCTGGGTTGGGGCAGGGCCTTTCGATGGCGCTGAAGGGTGGGTCTCTGGCCGGGTGAGAGGCAGATCCTCTGCTTTCATGTGCTCATTTGGGTGTTCTGGTGGCCTTGGACCCTGGCTTCTGAAAGCCTCTTGAGCCTGGTCAGGAAGAGGCCGTTAAAAAAAAGGTCTTTATTGATGTATTTGTTTTTACATTCGCTCCATTTCACAATATACTTTTTCCCTACCCTGTCTCGCCCCAGCCCCCAAGAGCTGCGCCTTATGACAAAGAATAAAAAAAAAATGCTGTCATCGCATAATTAAGCAGTGTTCTGGCCTCTGGTCCCCCACTTCTGCAGGTACCAGAGGAGCTACGGAGAAATTCAAAACAAACTGACCTGCCACATGTCCTTTCTCCACCCCAGGTCCCAGGAGTTACACCTGCGGCCAGACTCCCATTCTTACCTGCCTGACCTGAGCAAATCTGAAATTGAATACATTGAGACTAAGCGGCCTCGGCTGGAGCTGTTACAGGAGCCGCTGCTTCGGCCCTCGCCTATGCTGGCCCAGCATGGGGGCACTGAAGACCTCTCCAAGGTAAGAGGAAGACCCCTCCCCACCCGTCCTTGGCCGTGTCCTCCCGCTGCTGGCCCGGTGGCCTTCTCTCCTCAGCAGCCTGCGTGGCCTCTTGGATTCTCGGCAGGATGTCAGCTTCCCAACTTTGTCCTCGACAAAAGCCTGTGGGCACTTCTGTTTTCATCTGTCCATCATTTGTCCTGCCGTCCATCCTTTTGTCCATCTATCCACTCAGAAGTCTGTCCTTTGATCAGTTTGCCGCTCTAATGTCCATCCATCAGCTTTCCATCCCTCCAGTCATCCTTCTCTTCATCTGTGCTTCCATTCATGTATCCAACCATCTGTCCACCCATCTGTCCATCCATCCATCTATCCCTTAAACAAGCCTTTATTTAGCACCTACTAATACGAACTTCTTAGGCACAAGAGTCTTTTCAGTTTTCTTTCCACCCCTTGTGCCTGATGTGATGCTCAGCACATAGTAGGTACTCAATAAATTCTTTTGCTATTGAATTCAGGAAAAAAATAAAAATAGAAGGAAAACCCAGCCTCTGCCTGTGTGGAATTAGGTGGGAAGACAAGCTTTTAAAAAAATCTATACATATATGTGTACGTTTGTGTGTATAGATGTGCGTTTATATATGTATATATACTTAAATATATGTGTGTAGCTTCTAGGCAGAAAAGAAAAGCAATAATGCTCTTCTTGGACGAATTCTCATCAGTGGCTTAGGTAGAGCATTGACTATATAGCAGCAATTATAGGTGACATTTATGTGAAGTTGTAAGCTGAGCAAGTCCATCAGTCATCAGCATGTGCTTATTAGAGCCTCCCGTGTGCCCGGCACCGTGCTAAGAGTCTGAGCTGCTGAGTTTACATTCTGTGAAGGAAAGCTGAGCGGCCACATACAAGTGTACCCCCACCGCCCCAGACACACATGTGTCTCTGTGTGTATGGATGTGGGTGGGTCTGTACGCTGGGAGGGAAGCCTTCCGCCGATGTTAGGCACAGCTGGTGCGTTCTGTAGAGTGCTTAGGCCTTGGAGGTAGGAAGACGAGTTCAAATTCTGTCTCAAACACATACTAACTGGGCAAGTCAACATAATCTGGCTGGGCCTCAGTTTCCTCATCTATAAAATGGGGATAGCAACAGTGCCTACGTCCTAGGGAAGCTGTGAGATTAACAGTGCAGTGATGTTTGTAAAGCACTTTGCAAACTATTACTAGCTGTAATTTTTATCAGTGTTATCGTTATTATTACATAGAATAAATGTATATATGGAACAAACATCGTCTTTAGGGAAGGGACGGCACTAGCTGTGTTCACGTGGAAGACATTTTGAAGGAGGGGAATTTTACGTGCATCTTCTCATTTTATTTCCCTAATAACCCCGAGGGCTAGGGACTCTTTCTGAGGCTCAGAGAGGGGGTGTGTCTGGCCTCTGCCACTGCCTCTCACGGTACCAAGCGATGATGTGGGCAGGAGGCCTTTAGACAGGACAAAGCCCTCTGTGAGTGTCAGGCGCCTCCAGGTTGGTCTGCTGCGGTCATCCCCTTTTGTTTGTCCACCTGCCAGGTGTGCCGTGCCCCACCCTCTCCTGCGCCCCAGTCAGTGAGAGCTTTGGGATCCTCTCTGGTGCCAGCTCTTCCCTAATTGATGTTTGCCACGGTTGAAGGAGTGGATGTGCGGGGCTGCCTCCCCTTCTGGTCATTAGCCACGTTAGTGCTGATCCTTGGAGAGTTGGGGAGCTCGGCTGGCGTCTCCTGCCGTCCCTGCTAATTATGTTTCCCCACAGTGTGACTCAGAGCTCACAGAGGCTCTGCCTGCCGTCCCTCCCTGGTCCTTGCTCAGGCTCCTGGCCCTTGAGGTTAGGGGGGTGCTGGCCCAGGAGCAGAGCCTGGGGGAGTCTTGAGAGGGCTGGGGGGCAGAGGGTCAGCCCTGGATCTTCATCTGGTGTCAGTTTGACTCGGGCATCACCGGGCAGGGGACATCCACTTGGAGAGGGGTCCTGTACTTGGCTGAGGGACAGAGAGACAGAGTGATGTGGGGGAAGGCTGGGTGCTCTCCCTGGTGGGGGGGGTGTCTTCCTCCGGGGCCCATGGACGTGTTTTAAAAACACTTGGATAATGATATTTCAGCATGATTGGATTCCTCTCTGAACCTCTGCCTTTCATCTTGCACACTTACGCCCCTGGTTCTAAGGCAGTCTCCATCCATTGGCTTCCTCGCCAGCCTGCCAAGAGGTGTCCTGGACATAAGAACGGTTAAGAACTCCCTTCTCTGGAAGCACTGGGGAGACAGAGGATCTGAGTTTGAATCCTAAGGACCCTTCACTTCAGCCCACGGTTCTCAGTTTCCTCATCTATAAAGCTTCAGGGATGTAAGAGATGATCACAGAAGTCCCTTTCAGCTCTGGCGGTCAGAGCCCTTTTAGAAAGGTTTGTAAAGGAGAGCGCAAAGGGGCAGCTAGGTGGCGCAGTGGATAGAGCACCAGCCCTGGAGTCAGGAGGACCTGAGTTCAAGTGTGGCTTCAGGCACATAACACTGACTAGCTGTGTGACTCTGGGTAAGTCACTTAACCCCAAGTGCCTCACCCAAAAAAAAAGGAGAGTGCATGGCCCAGTAGAGTGAGTGTTGTTGGAGGTAGAGACGAAAGACCCGAGTGCTAATCCTAGTTCTGTGCTGACCCAGCTAGCTGTGTCGGACAGGTTGCTTTCAAGGCCGTCCTCAGTTTCCCCTTCTGTAAGATGAGGGGGTTGGACTTGCCAGCCCTTCGGTCACTTCAGGCTTCCGGTCTGTGATCCCAAGGGGAAGCAGGAGAGATTGCGTCTGGCTGGAGGTCAGGCAGGGAGACTGCCCGGGGGTCTTTGTGTGTCAGGGCTGCTGGTCAGAACCAGTGCTTTGTGTCTCTCTGGGCATTTGGAATGCTTTCCTTTCTGGAGTTTGGTTAGAGCCTGTTGCGTTTGGCAGATGTGCTGTGTTTCTGGTTTGTGTCTTTATCCTGACGTCCTGTCTCCCCACCTTGAGGTCCCTGGTGCCTTTCCGGGGCTGGGGGTGCCCCCCTTCCTCTGTGAGACAAAGAGACTTTCGCAGGCTGAATGCTGTGCCCCTGGAACAGCCATGACCTTGATTCTCAAGGAATGGGGCATTGCCTGGGCACAGAGCCAGCCCCGGGAGTGCTGTTGACTGCAGCTGGCCAAGGCTGAATGGGTGGTATTAGCCAGTCAGGCCTGCCCGCTGCCCTGCCAGGCCTTGATCTGACAGTCAAATGAGGGCTTGGCTCCCCCATCCTGGGACTGTGCCAGGGCGTTGCTGAGGCAGCGGAGTGGGGGTGACATCAGGATTGGTTGTCCTGATGGTTGGCACAGGTGCCCAAGGTCAGCAGGATCCTGGAAGGAGCAGCGAAGCTGCTGGTAGCAGGAATGGTGTGCCTGGCGCACCAGATCAGGATGAGCCCCCAGCCGCAGTGGTAGCGTCAGGACTTCAGGACCCATCTGGGCTAGAGAGCATCTCTGTCCCCCAGCCACGTTCCTCCTGTGCCCAGCCTGACGTCCTCAGATGCAGGCTGTTAGTCATGCAGGGAGACTGGGGAGGAGAGAACGTGGGACGGTTTGTCCCCTTCTTTTGGGAAGTAACCCTTTTGAGGCACTTGGGGAGAATTGAACGTAAGACACCTGAGGGCAGGGGCTGTGTCGTTCTCCGCCTTTCTTTAAATTTTTGAGTCGCCAGCATCCAGCCCAGAGCCTTTTTGTTGGTGGGCGGTGTTGCCCTGGTGACACATCTGTGCCAGTTCAGCTGAGATGCTCCTCGGCCTGTCCTCGGCCCAGCTGCTGAGTTTGGTGTGACCCGTCTGGAGTGTACGCCCCTTAGATCCTCAGCACTAGCACGGTTCATGGCACACAGCGAGTGGACCTTCAGCAAATGCTTGTTTGATTGGACCGGGCTGGCTTGGTGGCAGAGGACTTTGGTGAGACCTCATGTGCAGCAGGCACTTGATCATGTTTGCAGAGCCCAATGGAATCGCAGTTGGTGTGAACCTCATCTTACAGACTCCTGCAGTGTTTTTCTCGGCGCCTGGGGGTGCTGACAGGCAGAGCAGTGGGCCTCCGGAGCTGAGCCTGCACGCCTTGCACCATTTTGTGAAAAGCACAGGGAGGTCTGAGATCTCGGTGAGTCAGCAGAGATGACAGAAAACGGGAATAGCCCGTGTTGGAGAGGCTGTGAAGAGACGGCCACACTCATGCATTGCTGGTGGAGCTGTGAATTGGCGCAGCAGTTCTGAAAAGGCATTTGGAATTAATGCCGAGACAGTGACTGATATATCTATATACGCTGGCCCATATATTATTCTACGCATATAGGAAGAAGGGTCTCAAATACACCACAGTATGTATCATGGCACTTTTAGTAGTAGCAGATATTGGAAACAAAGCCGGTGCCCGGTGATTCGAGAGTGAGTGAGTCGTAGTGTGGGTAAAATGGGACGTTACCGTGTTGCCAGGAGCTACAGCTGTGAGGAATACAGAGAAGCACGAAGACTTAGATGAACTGACGTAAAGTGAAGAAAACCGAACCAGGAAAACCACGTACCCATTGACCACGGCGGGGTAAATTGAAAGAATGACAGCAGAACGTTCAAACCTAGTTGCCGTCAGAGTGCAATAACCAGATTTGTCTCCGAAGGAGATAGGAGCGTGCATGTGGTGCGTGGAAAGAACGTTGGAGTTGGGATTGAGGACCTGGGTTTGAGTTCTGACCGTTAGTTACCTGTGGGCCCTTGAGGCAGGTGGGGGTGGGGGGGGTGAAGTCAAAAAAGAAAAGCCCGCCCCTGTCGTCTCTGGGTGCCTGGGCCTATGCCCCGAGGCTGTCGCCTCTCTGTTGGAAGGGGGGCATCAGTTTTCAGAAACTGTAGCTGGTCTTGATTGGAGAACGTAAGTCTTTCAGAGTCGTGGGGGCTTGTTCTCTGCTGTTTGTTCAGTCTTTACGGTGTTGTCGCTGTGGCACAAACCATTCTCTGGGT